GCCCAATTGACTATTTGTGAAATCTCTCCCGATCGACTGATTCTGTAGTCGACTTCCTATAATTCAAAGTTCTCAAAAAACCTTTTTAGCTTTTGGTTGAATTTTAACCTTTTGTGAAAATCTTAGCCAACAACAACCTTAATTAACTTTTACTAACTTTATCCCTAATAAATAGTTGATAAAAAATCATCCTATGCATTTATGACAATGCTTAACAATCAATAGTGATTAAGGGTAACTTTGTAAAAATGTTACCTTTATTGACTCAATTATTAATTTTTTTAATTTGTGTATAACAATCTTAAACAATTTTTATTTTGAGAAGAAGGGAGTAGTTTTTTATTCATTCAATAACTAATTTATTTGATCTATATTTTATCTAGAGACGCTACTTATTTAATAAATCTAAAAAATAATTTTTTTCTTATAAATAGGACTAGAGAGAATATTAATTTTAAATCTTAAGTTAAAATTAATGATTGGAATAAAGATGGTAATTGGATCCATTACATAAAAATTATCCATAGCAGATACGGTAAACTTTGTAAAATGGGTATGGGCAACTACTCACTAAAATAAGCGGGTATCGACGCGAATACAAATACTTTAATGCTCACTCCGCTCCATATCTATACAATATATATTTATATATTTTTATTTTTATTATTATATACACATGTATTCTTATCATTTTTATTGAATAGAATATAATTAAACATGTATACATTTTAATATGTGTTTATTTACTCCTTAACTCAATAATAATATCTTTAAATTTTTATTAAATATTATTAAAAATTTAAAATAAACTATAATTGATCAATACTTTTTATTAGAAATGCATGTAAATGAGAATGGGTATATGTATACTTAAGTATCTATAAGATTAAGTATCTATAAGATATAGTACGGCTATAAATATTGGTGTCCACCCGAATATAAATTTAGATAAGGAAATTTTTTCAAATTTCGAATATAGAAACAAGTATTGTAGTACTCTACATAAACCCTACCATTACCATCTCTAGATTGTAATATATTTATGAAATAATGTGTTAAAATTAAATTTTTTTTTTGAAAAGTTGTTATGTGTTATAAATGATACATTTGCATCTAATTTGAAGTGAGAATTCCTGGGCCCAATCCATTCCTCATGAGGCCTCTTTTTTGGTCGACTGCGTCCACAAGCCCAATTGACTATTTGTGAAATCTCTCCCGATCGACTGATTCTGTAGTCGACTTCCTATAATTCAAAGTTCTCAAAAAACTTTTTTAGCTTTTGGTTGAATTTTAACCTTTTGTGAAAATCTTAGCCAACAACAACCTTAATTAACTTTTACTAACTTTATCCCTAATAAATAGTTGATAAAAAATCATCCTATGCATTTATGACAATGCTTAACAATCAATAGTGATTAAGGGTAACTTTGTAAAAATGTTACCTTTATTGACTCAATTATTAATTTTTTTAATTTGTGTATAACAATCTTAAACAATTTTTATTTTGAGAAGAAGGGAGTAGTTTTTTATTCATTCAATAACTAATTTATTTGATCTATATTTTATCTAGAGACGCTACTTATTTAATAAATCTAAAAAATAATTTTTTTCTTATAAATAGGACTAGAGAGAATATTAATTTTAAATCTTAAGTTAAAATTAATGATTGGAATAAAGATGGTAATTGGATCCATTACATAAAAATTATCCATAGCAGATACGGTAAACTTTGTAAAATGAGTATGGGCAACTACTCACTAAAATAAGCGGGTATCGACGCGAATACAAATACTTTAATGCTCACTCCGCTCCATATCTATACAATATATATTTATATATTTTTATTTTTATTATTATATACACATGTATTCTTATCATTTTTATTGAATAGAATATAATTAAACATGTATACATTTTAATATGTGTTTATTTACTCCTTAACTCAATAATAATATCTTTAAATTTTTATTAAATATTATTAAAAATTTAAAATAAACTATAATTGATCAATACTTTTTATTAGAAATGCATGTAAATGAGAATGGGTATATGTATACTTAAGTATCTATAAGATTAAGTATCTATAAGATATAGTACGGATATAAATATTGGTGTCCACCCGAATATAAATTTAGATAAGGAAATTTTTTCAAATTTCGAATATAGAAACAAGTATTGTAGTACTCTACATAAACCCTACCATTACCATCTCTAGATTGTAATATATTTATGAAATAATGTGTTAAAATTAAATTTTTTTTTTGAAAAGTTGTTATGTGTTATAAATGATACATTTGCATCTAATTTGAAGTGAGAATAAATCAAATTAATTATAAAAGATTTACAGTTTAGTTTATATAAGTTTAGGTCAGTTTAAGTTTTTTTTTTTTTAAATTAGAAATGTTTAGTTAAAAAAGCTGTGTGTTTCAGGACATAAATAAAGTCATTTAAATTTAGGAGATATTTTATAAATTTTTTAAATATAGTTTTTATTATTTTTTAATAAAAATATAATAAGTGTATAATTTTCTCATATATATATATATATATATATATATATATATATATATATATATATATATATATATATATATATATATATATATATATATATATATATATATATATATATATATATATATATATATATATATATATATATATATATATATATATATATATATATATATATATATATATATATATATATATATATATATAATTTTTTTTCTTTCCTATTTTCATTTTTTAAAATATACTTGTCATATCTTTATTAAAAAATAGTAAGAATCACACCTAAATAATTATATATAAGTTTTCTCTTTAAATTTATTAGTGATTTATTTAAATAAATACAAATACTTTTATTATTATTAAAATTTAGTTATTTTAAAGAACTGAAAAAATGTTAAAATTATCGTATGAACAAATGTTATTAGTTGTTTTTATCAATTCTCTCTAATGTTTCACAAAACTTATGCTGCTAAATCTCATTTTAGAATAATGTTTGCCCACTTAAAATCAAATCTTGAGATTCTTTTATTGTTGAAAATAAGATTGTATGGAGCATTATAAAAACGTATGTTTTTTTATCATAAAAACTTGTGATTTTTATGGATGTTAATGCGGAAGCAATCAAACATTAAGTAAGTTAGGATAAATTAGTTCAAACAAATTTTTAGTCTTATTAATTTTTTTCTAATTAGTATATTTAAACATTAGATGAATGATTTATTTATTCAAATGAAATATGTTTTAAATAGGTTAACATACTATTTAACATTTGAAAATGTCAGATTCAAGTCTATAAATAAGTTAATTATAGACTACAAATCACCTCTAAATTTTAAGAAATTTTATAGGTCAAACTTAAATTTGATAAAGCCTACCTTAATCCCAGTTTATTCCCACCTCTAAGACATACTTTTCATCAATTTGTTTATAAATAAAAAAACAAATTTGTAAACAAATGGTTTTCCAACTTTTTTGAATCTCAATTTAACTAGTCAATAAAAAAAAGTGGGTTTCTAAGGTTAAAAAAAACTCTCGTGTCAAAAGTGGGTTAGCCATCCTTCATGTTATAAAGTTGTAAAGTTTCTTATTGACAACTACGTTCAGAAGAAAAAAACTGCCTATCAACTTCCTCTACAGATAAAGCTCGAATTGGCTCCAAAATGTCTTCCACAACTTTTTAGGAATTTATTGACGTTTAAAACAGTTTTAACATCTTGTTGGAACACAAGCAGGTGGCTAATTTTGGATAGTTAAGTTTTAATCAAGTTTGATAATTATGTAATTACATGTCTGTCTCAGAAGATAGTATGACAGATGACGAATGTTTTAATGCACTTGCACACAACACCCACACAAGCAACAACACAGGTCTTTTGATGGCTCACAGCTATTTTGAACTCGTGAAGCAGTAAAAATGGTATGTATATCCCCCTCTGGAATAAGAATATTATGAACTTGTGAAGCAGTAAAAAATTGTATGTATAGCCCCCTCTGGAATAAGAATAAAAACTAATGCTTGCTACCACATCAATAATAATATGAGTTATATCCTGCACACTTCCAAATCCATTTCAGATGATTTGATCTTCATGCACAATCACTGCATTCGTGCGTGCTTACTTTCCTTCACATTCTAAAATAACCTGCAAAATGAATTAGAATCCCTTCAGGTTTGGAGCACTTAATACATATTATAGTTACATAAATTGATGACTAAACCTCAGAAGTAGAGGTCAAAATAAGTTATAGGCTGGGTCAAGCTTTCTATAGCGCCAGCGTTTTTCCAAACCTTGAATTAAAATTCTACTTTATAATAAGATCTTTAAATAAGTCATACGACGATTGCTAAAAAAACTTATAAACTCAGTATGCAGTTCAATATGCTTAAATATTTAAACTTGTTTAAAACTCTAAATGTATATGATTCTAATACATTATAATAAAAGTTTGATTTAAGAATAATAACAACTTTTGTATAAATCTAATCATGCATCAGCATTGTAAAGAAGTTTTCTCTAAAGACGTAAAGAAATTTTGAACACGTTATTTCATCAACCTGTCATGGTCTAAGTTTTTAAAAGTAATACTATGATATGTTAAGAAGATAAAACATCTTTGGCTCTGTTAACCTCACTTATCTATAAATGTATAGTAATTAAAATTTTAAATTATTTACATTTATCTAAATAGATAACAGATTCAAAAGACTTTCAGGATACCTTATAGTCTAGTCTTTTTATGCTAAATAGATTTTGTCAAAAGTCAGCCTAATTTATTTTGTAAATAGGTTAGATCATTAGCCCTCAAACAGAGTTCCAAATAATTTACATATTTTGGGTTAAAGATGTTATATTAGTGATATCATGATAATACATCTACAGTTGTTTTGTACTCAAGATCTACAAAGATAAAAAAAAAATTAGAGCATTTTTGCGTGAGGAAACAGCTGATAAGGTTACAAAATTACCTATATTAGTTTCACTCGATCAAAATATTTTTCTTGCTCTGAGGTAGTTATACATAAGAAAAAAAATAATAACGCCGCCAATAATGATCCCAGATGTAGTTAGCCAAAATGCAAACTGCATTAAATCCAAATATGGTTAATTTAACAACACTGAGTGCCAATAGGCAATAACTTCTAAAAAGAACAAAGTAAGTCATGCATGGAATAAGATTTTAGAGAGCAACTCACCACTTGTTCCTCAAGATAGGACTTCAGGTTCATGCCAAATATACCTGAAATCAAGAAAATATATATTGATATAAAATCAAGTAATGTAGCTAATATACTCTCAGATAATAAACCAGACAGTCTAGTGCATTTCTCATAATTATTCATTGGTATAGCCAAAGTTCTTATTTAAATTGCATATTCCTTTCGAGAGAAAATTGGCAACTCCAGATTCTAAATCTTGAAAGTCCTACACCGAGAAGTATATTAAAACAGCAAAATTCTGCCATAATGGTTGTAGTAGTGAATTTGCACAACAAATGAATATGTAGCAAGGTGATTAAATGATGCCGTGTATGCTAGTAATATCTGGAAAGACTTCAGAACGACATGATAAAAAAATTATTAGATTTTAAGAAGAGCAGTTGAGGTTGTTTTTGATGCAAACCTAAACCACCAACAAAAGTTATAATTAGCCAAGTTTTAGTCCACTTCAAGTCCTGGTATGTGGAACTGATTCATTATTTGAGAATATTATCTACATTAACTGCTTAATGTAGACTAGAATGTTAATATTTAAATTAAGTTTGGTTAAAATAATGGGTGGGCTTATGCAACCAATTGTGCATACTTTGTCAAAGAACCACCCAAAACCTGTACCTGCTACAAGGGCACCAACTGCCACACAGAATGTTCCAACCTGGAGAAGCAATTCCACTCTACTAACTTCAAGTCTTCGTGAGCTGTTGAATGAACCAAAGTAATTAGAACAAATAAGGTTAGTGATGACAGAGTGCTACAGACATTGACAAATTTCTCTCTTGCATTGAGGTTAAAAAGCTAAGCTAATCTATGGTGTCTGACTATATGCACGATGTTTTAAATTACCCCAAATAACAATGTTGAGCGAAGGACATTAGACACTTATATGATTCTTTTAATTTCAAGAGTGAAATATATTTCACGCATTCTTAATTGTGATTGAAGTCCTTGAATGTAATATCATTTCATCCATTCTTAATTGTGATTGAAGTACTTGAATGCAATAATATTTCATCCATTCTTAATTGTGATTGAAGTACTTGAATGCAATAATATTTCACGCATTCTTAATTGTGATTCTTTAATGCAGGATTAAATGCTTAATTTGACTTCAAAATGGAATCAAGGATGTCAGTCCAAACACAATCCCGTGGTTAGCAGAATGCAGCATTCAGAGATCACTTAACTTCCTAACATTGACAATCACTTGATACAACTCTAAACCCGCCCTAGCGGAAGAGGGAAAAAAGAAATTCAAACCTCAAACTGACAGCTATAGAATCCTCCATTTCCCTTGCAGAATCAAGAAGCCTTTCAGATTGACCATGACAAGATTCACATCTGCAAGTGCATTTATACATAGAAGTCAACTTTGAGATGAAATTGTAGAATATTAATCGGACTTTGTATACTTTTAACTTCTTGTATATTACTCTTTTTCTTAAATAAATTACACACACTTGGTCTTTTATAGACTCAAACAAAACTTTTACAATTCTAAAACAGTAAATTAAACAACATAACTGCTACATAACTACAAAAGAAAACTAATGTCTTTCCTACTACCATAGTTAATACTAATCATTTATTTCTAACCCATTTAATGTTTTATTTCAACAAAACTCCTCCTTAAACATTAAATGCTTCTTCGATCCAGCATCCCAATCATTTTTCTGCCTCTTTCGAATACTTCTCTTGATAGTGGTTTTGTGAAGATGTCAGCTGCTTGGTCTTTGCTTGCCACATGCCTTAGTTCCACGCTTCCTTCTTTCACATGTTCACGTATGAAGTGAAATCGAACGTCTATATGCTTGCTTCGTTCATGATTGACTGGATTCTTCGCCAGCTCAATAGCTGATTTGTTGTCCACGTGTATTACTGTTGGACCTTCCTGCTTCAGCCTCATCTTACTTGTCAACCTTCTGAGCCATACAACATGACACACACACCAGGATGCTGCCACATACTCTGCCTCACACGTTGAAAGTGTCACTATTGGCTGCTTCTTCGATAGCCAAGTGAAAGCTGTGTTTCCCATGAAAAACACGTATCCTGCAGTGCTCTTTCGATCATCAACGTCTCCACACCAGTCACTGTCAGAATATCCAACTAGCTTGTAGTCTTCAGTCTTTGAATAAAACATCCCAAGTGATACTGTTCCTTGGATGTATCTCAGAATTCGTTTCAGCGCTTTCCAGTGTGTGTGAACTGGCTCCTCCATGAATCTGCTCACTATGCCAACACTAAGTGAAATATCTGGCCTTGTGCATGTGAGATATCGAAGACTGCATACCAAGCTTCGATATTTACTTCCTTCGACTCGTTCTCCTCCATCAAACTTCGACAGCTTTGTGCCTGGCTCCATTGGCGTCGAAATTGGGTTGCAATTCTTCATTTTATACTTTTCTAGGATTTCCTTTGCATACTTTTCTTGTGATATGAAAATCCCAGCTTCTTCCTGTCGAACCTCCAGACCAAGAAAAAATCTCATCAGACCTAAGTCTGTCATTTCGAATTCTCTTGTCATGGTGTTTTTGAAGTCTTCGATCATCTTAACATTATTGCCTAGAAAAATGAGATCATCAACGTACAGAGCCACAAGTAATAAATCACCTCCATTTTTCTTCACATAGAGCGCTGGTTCATAGGGGCATTGCTCGAATCCACTCTCCTTAAAATATGTATCAATGCGTGTGTTCCATGCCCTAGGTGCTTGCTTCAGCCCATACAATGATTTCTTCAGTTTCAGCACCTTCTTCTCTTCTCCAGCCTTCATATAACCAAGTGGTTGTTCGACATAGATTTCTTCTTCGAGCACACCATTCAAAAATGCTGTCTTGACATTCATTTGAAATATTTGCCATTTGAACTGAGCAGCTTGAGAGATGAGCAATCGAATTGTCTCCATTCTTGCAACAGGCGCGAACACTTCGTCATAGTCAATGCCAGCTTTCTGCTTGTATCCCTTTGCAACCAGCCGTGCCTTGTATCTTTCGATCTCTCCTTGGGCGTTCATTTTTTTCTTAAATACCCACTTTACACCAATGGGTTGACTTCCTTTTGGTAATTCGACCAGCTCCCAAGTTTTGTTGTGTTCGATTGCTTTAATTTCTTCGTCCATGGCGTTTTTCCACTTCTCATCCCTTAACGCTTCTTCAACACTTATGTTTTCAGCATCTGCCAGAAGGCACACAAGATGCACCTCACTTGTTGACTCATACAGATCTTGCAAACTTCTCATTCTAGGTTGTAGAGGTTCATCTCTATCTTCTGTTTCTTCATGTTCTTCTGGAGTGTTTGTTGGTACAGCTATAGTTATTTCTTCGACTGTGTCACCAACCTCTGTCGAAGTGTTCCAATCCCACTTGCTGGCTTCATTCATTCGAACGTCTCTGCTTACAACCACTTTCTTACTTATGGGATTAAAAAGCTTGTACCCCTTCGTCTTCTCATCATATCCAATGAATATGAACTTCTGACTTTTGTCTTCGAGCTTTGTTCTTCGTTGGTCTGGTACATGTGCATAAGCTATGCTACCAAAAACTTTTAGATGAGAGATTGTTGGCTTCTGTCCACTCCATGCTTCTTGTGGTGTTTTGTCTTCCAGCTTCGAATGTGGACACCTATTCTGAATGTAAACAGCACATTGTACTGCTTCTGCCCAAAACTCTTTCAGCATACTCTTGCTTTTAAGCATTGATCGAACCATATCAAAGATAGTTCGATTCTTCCTTTCAGCCACACCATTTTGCTGAGGTGAATATGGCGAGTAAGGAATCTTCTTATGCCCTGTTCTTCACAGTACTTCACAAAGGCAATCGAAGTATACTCTCCTCCTCTGTCTGATCGAATTGATTTGATGTTTCTTTCTGTTGCCTTTTCCACCATTACTTTGAATTTCTTGAACACTTCTAGTGCTTCAGATTTTTCTTTTAGAAAATAGACCCAGGTTTTTCTTGAGTAGTCATCAATGAAGGAAATGAAATACTTCTTTCCACTGAAGGATTCTGGAGTAATTGGCCCACATATATCAGTATGTATCAATTCGAGTATCTGTTTGGCTTGATACTCTGCCTTCTTCTGAAATGAGGTTCTGGTTTGTTTGCTGAGCACACATTCTTCACAGAATTTTCCTTCGAACTCCATGTCTGGCAGTCCATGCACCATGTTTCTTTTCGCCAATCTTCTCAGACCAGCATGATGTAGGTGACCAAAGCGCATGTGCCACAGTGACGCTTTGTCTTGCACTTCGATCTGCAGACATTTCTCTCGAATGTTCCTCAAGTTAAGTTTGTACATTCGATTTCTCTCCATTTCGACAGCAGCAATTAGATATCCTGTTTTGTCCTTCAACTGCAGTGTTCGATCTTTCATCAGGATCGAAGCACCCTTTTCAGTGAGTTGTCCCATACTTAATATGTTGGTCTTAAGGTCTGGTACATAGTAGACATCTTCGATTGACCCAATCAAGCCATCCTTCTGTAAATAGCTGATTGTGCCCTTTCCTTCAACTTTTACCTTCGATGCATCTCCAAAAGACACGCTGCCATCTTCAACTCCCTTCATATCTTTAAACAGGTGTTTGTAACCACACATGTGATTACTTGCTCCTGAGTCAAGATACCAAATACTGTCATTGGTGTTGATTTCGTTTTGGGCCATCAGGAGAAACCCTTCATTCGATTCAGCTTCCAAAGCCAGGTTGGTTGTCTCTTCAGTCTTCTTTTCATTTCGACAGTCTTTTGCAAGATGTCCCACTTTGTCACAGTTGTAACATTTGTAGGAGTTGCAATCCTTCGCGTAATGGCCATACTTGCCACACTTGTAGCATTCGAAATTTGAATAATTCGAACGACCACCTCTTTGGCCACGTCCTCTGCCACGCCAGTTTTGTTGGCTCGAATTTCCTCTTTCGAAGTTACTGCCTCTACCACTTCGACCACTGTCACGTCCTCTGCGTCCACGTCCTCTTCCTCGAAAGTTGTTCGAGAAGAGTACTTTTTCATCTTTCGATTCTTTTGTTTGGTTTGCTTCTTCGTCTGCCTCTTCTTTTTTCTTCATCTTTCTTTGTTCATGTGCTTCGAGCGAACCAGTGAGCTCTTCGATTGAGAGCGTCGAAAGGTCCTTCGATTCTTCTATTGCACACACCAGATTCTCAAACTTGTCTGTTAAAGATCTTAATATCTTTTCAACAACTCTTGCATCAGCTACTGTCTCACCATTTCTTGTGAGTTGATTCACCACTTTCTGCACACGAGTGATGTAATCTGATACATTTTCTGTATCCTTCATTTTTATCCTCTCCAATTCGCCACGAAGCGTTTGGAGTCGAACCTGCTTTACTCTGTCTGCTCCTTTGAACACCTTCTCTAACGTGTCCCACGCTTGTTTCGACGTAGTCGAACTAGCAATCTTCTCAAAGCCTGATTCATCCACAGTCCTGAACAACATATATAGTGTTGTTTTGTCCTTCGCTCGCGTCTCTTTCAACGCCTTCGTTTGGGCTGCTGTATATCCTCCAATTTCTGTTGGTTCTTCAAACCCATCATTGGTCACTTCCCACGCATCTAGAGATCCAAGAAGAGCTTTCATTTGGATGCTCCAGTTTTCATAGTTTGAGTTCGTTAGCCGTGGTAACGGCATTTGGTTCATCATGTTCGCCATGAGCTCTGATATCAATTTGTAGAATATTAATCAGACTTTGTATACTTTTAACTTCTTGTATATTGCTCTTTTTCTTAAATAAATTACACACACTTGGTCTTTTATAGACTCAAACAAAACTTTTACAATTCTAAAACAGTAAATTAAACAACATAACTGCTACATAACTACAAAAGAAAACTAATGTCTTTCCTACTACCATAGTTAATACTAATCATTTATTTCTAACCCATTTAATGTTTTATTTCAACAGAAATATTATTAAAAATGTTAAACTTATTGCAAAAGAAAAAGTAATTAGCCTTCGTCAGAATCATCAACTAATTGTCGAGTTTGAAACTTTATAAGACTTGTTTCACAATTCAGATTCCATTCAGATATTGCAACATGAATAAGAGGCATTTCTAGATATTAATGGTAAGTAAAAGCATAATATTCTTGGTTTCAACATGTTTCCACCATGTTGGTGTTTTGACTACTGCCTTCTTAATTTTGACATAAGAAAGGCCATGAAGGCGTATAGTATCTGTTGGAAGAACCAAATCAGCTTGTTACCACAAAGAATCACTTGTCTTGCTCGCTAATGTCAAAGTCACATCTCACAAGCAAAGAACAAATAATGCTTTTCCATTGTCGATTAGGACATCCCTCTTTTGGAGTTATCAAATTTATGTTTCCATCTTTGTTTTCTAAAGTGAAAAATGAGACTCTTCATTGTGAAGTATGTGAAATTGCAAAACATAAGCGTGTACCTTTTCCTTTGAATAATAAAAGATGCACAATTCCTTTTCATCTTGTCCATACTGATGTTTGGGGGCCATCCACTACTCCAAGTGTGTCTGGTGCTCGATGGTTCGTTACTTTCATAGATGATTGTACCCGAGCCACTTGGTTGTTCCTTCTTAAGAATAAATCTGAAGTACCATTCTCCCAGTTTTTTTTCAATGATTAAAAATCAATTTGGTACAAATATCAAAAGAATCAGATCTGATAATGGGAAAGAGTTCTTCAATCATGTCATTACTCCTTTTTGTGAAAAAGAAGGAATAATTCATGAGTCCTCTTGTGTAAAAACCCCATAACAAAATGGAATTGCTGAAAGAAAAAATGGTCATCTTCTTGACCAAACTCGGGCATTGTTGTTCCAAAATAATGTTCCAAAGTATCTTTGGGGAGAAGTTGTTCTTACAGCAACATACCTCATTAATCGGCTACCTTCTAGAGTGTTAGAACTAAGGAGTCCTATGGATATTCTTTTGTCCTTTTAAATCCAAACATTTCGACCACTAATAATCTTGTTCCACGGGTCTTTGGGTGTGTCTCGTTTGTTCATATCCATAGTCAAGGTAGGGGAAAACTTGATCCTAGGACTCTCAAATGTGTCTTTGTTGGGTACTCTACTACTCAAAAAGGATATAAGTGTTAGGGGTGTGCAAAAAAACTGGTTAATGATAACCAAATTCATATCCAAATTATTCCATTTATTAAAACCCAATCCAAATATTAAATATTGGATTTGGTGGTCCATCTATGGTCAAAGTGGTAAACCGGTACCCATAAAATGGTTATTGGGTATCCAAATTTCTTTCTCATCAAATTTTTCTGCTTTCCATTTTTCACACTTTCTCAAGAAAATAAGCTCTACACATTTTCATAAAAATTGAATGATGTTTAACACTTTATTTCAAATGACTAATTATTAAATAAATATAAAAATGTTTAATTATAGTTAAAAAATATGCAAACACTCTCAAATAAATTGAAAGATATAATATACTAAACATTTAAAAAGCAAGATATATTATTATCACCGTAGAAGACAAATTTAAATTTAAAAGAAATTTGTTTGAACTTGATCTCTTTTCATTCAATATACATATACTTTATATAAGAAAACGAATGTGCACACTGAATTAATTAATACTATCTCAGTATTAATTGATTTTTCTTTTAGAATTGATAAAACAAAAATGATCATTTAAACATAAAAATGTTTTAAAAAATGCTTTGTGACCGTGAGAACGACTGCGACAAAATGTTTTGGACATATGTCGATATCGATACTGTTATATCCGTTTTATATTAAAAAATAAATTATAATTAATAATTTACACTGCGACGAACACAATCAATGTTGTAACACCTCTATCGACCGAAATTGTAAAAATTGTAATACGACCGCGACAATTTTTTAAAATCTACTTAAAATTAAATTAAGGATGTGCTTTATTAATGTTTAAAAAAATTAGTACTGAATTAATTTTAAAATTTTATTAATTAAAATGAATTAAATATAGATTAAATTATATTTAAATAATTTGGATTAAAATTAAAACTGGTTTCAAACCGGTTTTAATCCGGTTTGAAACCAATTATGTTCTTTAAATCAGTTTTTGTGATTAATGGTTTGGTTTGTTAACCATAACCATAAAAGTGGATTGGATCACAATATATGATAACCATACACACCCCTAATAAGTGTTACCACCCTCCATCAAAAAAATTATTTGTGTCTAGAAATGTTACCTTTCATGAAGGAGAAGCCTACTTCACTCAAGCTTATCTTCAAGGGGAGTCTCTTAGTGAAGATAAGGGTAATTCTCTTGAAACTCTTATTGTTCCTAATCTTGAAATGAATTCTCATGAGATCAATTCGAGAGAAGGAATGGCTGGAAATGAATCTAAAAAAGAGGCATTGGTTGAAGATGGATTTGGAAATGAATCCGGAGATGAAGCAGTGGCTGAAAATAGAATTGAGAAAGAAACAGTGGCTGAAAACAGAGCTGAAATTGACAAGTTTGGAAAGAATTTGGTGTATGCAAGAAGATTAAAGGCCATTCCTGAAGCAACAGATGTCCAAGAGACCGATCCAAATCCTTTGACACAGGTAACAAATTCTGATTTTTCTGTTTTACATGATATTCCAGCCCCACATAATGAAATAGCTGATAAGCATGACCTCCCAATTGTCATTAGAAAGGGCGTTAGAGAATGTACAAAAAAGCCACTCTATCCTCTCTCAAATTATATTTCATTTCAAAATTTTTCTCAAACCCATAAAACCTTTCTTGCAAACTTAAATACCATACAAACAAAGTAATGGGGATCATACACTGTTTATTAAACACTCTATTTCAGGGGGAGTAACAGTGTTGTTGGTATATGTTGATGACATTATTGTGACAGGAAAGGATTGGAAGGAACAACAAGTCTTAACTCAACATTTAGCAAAAGAGTTTGAAATTAAAATCCTTGGAAAGCTGAAGTATTTTTTAGGAATAGAGGCGACTCACTCAAAAAAGGGTATTTTCATATCTCAACAAAAGTATATCATAGATCTGCTCAAGGAAACAAGTAAGCTTGCTTGCAAACCTATGGGCAGTCCTATTGATCCAAGCCATAAGTTGGGTAATGTGGAAGACGGTGCGGCAGTGGATAAAGAAATGTATCAAAATTTGGTTGGGAGATTAATTTACCTTTCCCACACTAAGCCAAATATTTCATTTGTTGTAAGTATGGTTAGTCAATTTATGCACAACCCAAAGGAAGTTCATTTACGTGCAGCTCATAGAATTTTATAATATCTCAAGGGAATTCCAGGAAAAGGGATTTTGTTCAAAAGGAATGGAAGTGCTACTCTTGAGGCATATACATATACTGATTACGCGGGTTCGGCTACTGATCGGAGGTCAACTACAGGGTAATGTACATTTCTCGGAGGAAATCTTGTAACTTGGAGAAGTAAAAAGCAGAATGTTGTGGCCCGATCCACTGCTGAAGCTGAGTTTCGGACTATGGCACAAAGTATTTGTGAATTACTTTGGTTGAAGATTATTTTAGAGGATTTGAAGATTAAATGGGATGGACCTACGAAGCTCTTTTGTGATAGTAAGTCAGCAATTAGTATAGCTCACAATCCAGTTCAACATGACCGAACATAATACATTGAAGTGGATATACATTTTATCAAAGAGAAGTTTGATTGCGGTTTGATTTGCACTCCTTATGTTCCTTCACAAGATCAACTTACGGATGTCTTTACCAAAGGATTGAGCTGCCCAAATTTTAAAAAAATTGTGTCCAAGCTGGGAATGGAGAATAGCTTGAGGGGGAGTGTTGGAAAATAAAATAATTAATTATGCATTTCCATTAATTATGCATTTTCCAAATAGTCAATTCATTGCATATTAAGTTCTATGTATTATTTTAATTCATTTCTTGTAAGTTGCACATAATTATTTATTATCCTTGTAAGTTGTAACAAAATGATTATAAATTAAACTTATGCTGAGAGCATTGTATCTCAAGCACATTCATACATATTTTCTCTCTGTTTTTCACAGTATTGTTGTATAGTATGCTACGAATATCATATGTATATCCTCAACACGAGTACACAAAATATTTATTATGAAAATAATGCACAAGTTTGGAATGAGAATAACCTTTGGAGATAATTTTCCAGAAGCATTTCAATTTCCTCCTCCTCCTCTACATATCATGAGAAAAAACAAATGAGCAACTGCGTTGTAATTTTTAAAGTCATCTGCAGAAAGAGAAGATTTGTATTGATGTCTCCGGCATTTCACAGCTTACCATCAGCAACCTGCTTTTCTAAGGGCACTGAGCATTCCACATTATTGTTTCCTTTATTAAGTGTACAGTTTCTTCCCATAATACACATCCGCCGTATTTCATTTGGGTCCTCCAGAAGGTCAAGAAGCATCTGCCGGAGAGCTCCTGCCCTCGAGCCTAACTCAACCTAGCAATTTAGCAGAAAGCTAATAAAATTAGTTGTTTTCTCCCAGAATCACAGCAGATTAGTGAGAAAAAAGTCAGAAGAAAAATACCAAAGTTTGTTTGCTAATACGTAGTTGCTCCAATATGTCACCAGTTATCCGATTTGGCAACGCCTCAAGAAGAGCTTGAACCTAGGGCCAGGGGTAGGGGGAGACAAAATGGCTATCCGAATCAGGTACAGGATTCAGAGTTAGAAAAAAAGGTGAAAATATATAATCTTTTATGAACCAAGAAGTCAAAAATCAATCTACTATGTAAAATATTTCAGTGAGTAAGGAAGTTTCTGCCACTAGAAAGAGCCAGTTGAGTTCAGCTTTTCATGAACTATTACTTTTACTATGGAAAAAAAATGACTTCAAATTTTCTTAAGATCTTTGTTTACCTTTTAAAAATAAAATTGAAACAGATTTTTTTATTTTAAGCATATAAAGATTTTAAGTGTTTTTTATATTTTAACCACTTGAAAAAAGCTTCCATGTCAAAGCTTTAAAAAACAAATCACTTTTTACACAATCTTTAAATCAAACAAACAAACATGCTAAATAAAATATGTTAGAAACCCTTGTGAAATGTCATTTATAATACTGTTAAGATCTTATACAATGTCTGCATGAAAAGTGGCAGGAAAACATCACACTGAAGTAGTTGCTAAAGCTCATAGTTCTTTTTTTTGAGTTTTTGCTCACGTGCAAGTAGGGGTGGCCAAACGGACCCGGCTCGCCAGACATGCTTGTTTTGCCCGCATTTTATCGCAGGACCGGTCAAAACTTTAGGCGCACACCCTCTACTATGTCTGCCAGCCCCGTATTTTTGTAGCCTTTTGTGGGCGTGAACATTAACATGAATTTTGCAACTTTTAGGCTTTAGGGGTGCAAGGTCAGTCGGATCCGCCCTATTTTTTTGCGGGACGAGCCAAGGTTTTAGGCCTGCGCCCTCTACTATGCCTTCCACCCCATTTTTTGAAGGCTTTTGCAGGGCGGGCATGCCCGTTTGCCACCCCTGCGTGCAGGTTTAGAAACAACTACTTATGAAAGTCATAGGAACAAAAAAACAGACAAACTAACACATGTGCAAAAACACACATACCACAGAGAATCAACATTAACATACTCAGTTACTCACTGTGTTTCCATACTCACACGGGGTTCTAAGTCCATCAGTCTCCGCTCCAAACGTTGTATTCTTGAAAGCAATGCTGCTTCGACAACCTGAAAGTTCAACCATGATAATTAGGAGGAAGAGTGGAAGACAGTTCACAATAATATGCCTACGATGACATTGACAAGCAAGGTGGAGGGGGACTCTTTAACATACTAAATGAGAACAAAATTACACTCATGATAACCCACTGGTAATATTCAAATACCTTCAGTTTTTTAAAGAGGGTATTTGCCACATGGAACAAGACTTAAACCCAGTTACTTGGATATCTAATCCTCAAAAGTCATGACCAGTTTGGGTTCCTATATACTTTCTCTTCCGGCACCTGACTTTTAAGGCCACACTTTACTTGGCTTTCTGCGTTGGAATTGTTACCATCTTAGATCCTTCTGTCTCTTCTTTTACCCTTAAGAACCATTTTGTTTGATAAGACAGTAATTATTTTTTTATTTTTAGACATTCACTATAACCACCAACTCTACCCTTTCCAAACCCTGAGCCATAAATATGTCCTTGTGTATACTTTACTATTTCTCTTGTTTATACTTATATTAGAACTGCTATTATGTTGATTCACACCTGAGTGTAACTATCATATTTCAATTCTTAAAAATAAACCATAAGCAAATCAGTTTTTCTTTTCTTTCTTTTGTCTTATTGGACTGTAAATCACTGTATTCTCATAATAGTACTGCTATTCAGTTTTTTCAAACCTGAGTCTAACTATCATATCTCAAGCCGTGTAAAATAAGCAAATTCAGTTTAGTTTTCATTTTCTTTCTTTTGTCTCATAAGAACAAATGATCTTAATTTGACACTGCTATTGAGTTGACTCAGGTCTGAGACTAACTATCACAATTCAGCCCTTGAAAATAAACCATATTGAAATCTTTCTTTTGTCATATAGTACTGAAAATCACCATGTTTTCATAATGATGTAATGTAGCAGAAAATGAGTTAGGAAACATCGCATGAGTTCACAAGACTATTTTTCCTCCAATTCTAACAATTAGCATGTTAAATGGAGAAACAAATTCCAACAGACCTCAATTTCAAATGGCATTGATGGCCCTCCATTGTTATTCTTGGGGTTCAACCTAGGCAGCAAAGTGTCTAGAAAAGCTTGCCCACCTTTACTGGTAAAAAAATCAATAGAGATAGCAGTTTAGTTTTTAGCCCGGCGTTCCTTTATCAAAGAAATAGCGACAATAATGCATCCTATAATATATGCATTATTTAAGATTAAGAAAAAATACCGATTATAGTCAAATATAAGCACACAATCTTGCATTGCTATTGCTCGTAGCGAACCCAGGTTTAGAAGTATAGCATACTCACGAACCTAATACGAAACAATGAAATTGAATTGTTAGGGACAGAACTTGATATTGATGTTGTGTAAACTTTCCAAAACAAAACAGATGTGCATATGTGTGAAGTAGATTGATTACCAGCAAAGAAGGCATTGAATTCGTCAAAAACAATGATGGATCCACACTTCGGACATCCCGGGGACGAAGACCTGAATAATTGAACGCTCATCAAATATGAAATGTAAGCAAAAACAATTAACAATATAAATAGGGTATCATTGTTCAATAACCGATGATATCATTGCAAAAACAAAAATAAAACAAAAGATAGCATGATGTATAGGTGGTAACGGCCGATCAAAATAACTTTTTTATGCAAATTACATTACAAATATCATGTTTATATGAAACACCTACTTGCCTATTTTGAATTATGTAGCACCGAAACATCTAAAAAAAAGTGTCTCTGTCAGTGCCAGTGTCAATGTGTCAATGTCATATTTCCGGTGTCCGTGCTTGATAGACTTTGAACTAGAGCCAATTTTAAGTGAAAGAAGCATAGCTCAATTAACATCATTTGATTTAACTCACCACTCGACTTCAATAATTGTCTCCTGTTGATTTTTCTAGTCGATACTGCCCCGTCTGATTTCACTTCTACAACCTTCACAAATATAGAAAGAGAGAAAACAGAGTAAGAAAAGCGAAATTAGTAACACTGGAGAACCTGCAACAGAATTTAAGAAGCTTCCTAGGGTTTTAGTTCATTGAAGTAGTAATAAAAATGCCTAAAATCCACAAGATAATTTCTAAATTAAGAATAATTATCAAAAATAGATCGAAAGAGGAAAAAAAAAGAGCTGAACAGAACGAACTTCATAAACAGGTTCTCGAATTCCGAGAGAAGGAGAATCGCCTGCAATCCTCTGAGGCTCAATAGAAGAAGTTCGGATCGGATTCGGACCATTTGACTCATCCACAGCTTCATCGGCGTCAGACGCAACGGATTCCGTCTCGTTCCACTGCTTCTCCTCCGTGGATCTACTGCATTTCACCGGCTTCAGAGCCGACAGTGACGTAATGGAGATCTTTCTCCGGAGAAGAGGAGTGAGAGAATCACGACTCTGTGTTTCGAGAGAACGGAATTCGGTAAGGTCGGAGAAGAAGACGTAGTTGGTGCGCGAGAGTAAAGGTTGAAAACGAAGGTGCGTCGAAGTTAAAGTTAAAGCCATGCTAATTTAGTTCAGAAGAGATTACGGCTACGGTGACGGTTACGGTGGTTATGCATGCCAGTAACGGAATGAGGTGGTTGGAGCTGTGTTTCACTCTGCGTAACGATTAAAACGAAACAGATTAATAGTTTATTCGAATTTAGATATTTTATTATTATTTGATAACTTTTAATAATTTAGTGTATTTCTTCTTCTTCTCTCATTATTTTTTATTCATTTTAAATTACAGTATCTTTGTTCCGGTAAAGTTGATGGGACCGGTGGGAGGATAGGATAATAAGCAGAAAAAGATAAAAAAAAGTGGAAAATTTGTGTATATTTTTCTATTGGCCAATATTATCTGTGTGTGTGGCTGATATTTGGCTACGAATTAAAATTACAGGTGAGAATGTGACTCAACTCGTAACATCTCTCGTGCAAGATAATGGGAAATGAGTCCTCTGTGTTAACACTGGTAACATACTTCAGCATACATAAGACGCGTTGGGCTGTGCATAGTTTGGTTTAATAAAACTGATTTATTTTATAAAGTAATTTTATTTAGTTAATTTGGTTTAAAACGGTTTGAAATTGTTTTTTTCTTAAACCAATTATAAATTATTTTTTTTACGAATGTTTGTGAAATTTCTAATTCTTATTTTGTAATTAACTTCTGATATTTTTCTCATTTAGTCATTATATTTTTAATTATTAATAACAGTGGTGAAATCAAAAAAATTATATAAGTTGAATAAAAAATTTAAAGACTACAAATTTATATGATATAACAATCTAAAGTATATTTTATCATTTTTTTATAAAACTCTTCGTCAGTATAAACACGTATACAGTTCACTAAAATAAAAACACTATTCGAAGGATTGCTCTTTCTCTTTCCAGATTTCCTGTAGATAGCCTAGAAGAAAATTTATTTGAATTAATATTATTTCTTCTAAAGTTTATTGATTTGTTAAATCATTCTAAGTTAAAATACTTGAAACTATTAGGTATTAGTTCTTGTAAGGTGTTCTGGACTGGGCCCGACAGGCCCAAAAGCATTACTAAGGACAGGTCCAAAAGCATTACTAAGGCCCAATCCAAAAGGACTTACGGAGGTCCATGCCGGGCAAAGGAGTCACATCTGTGCCCGACATCCTGATGTCCAGCTCGACATCCCGCTATCTAACTCACGCGATGATGTCCAGCTCCACCTCCTGTCGTCCAGCTCGACGCCCTGACGTCCAGCTCGACGTCCCAACGTCCAGCTCGACACCCTGCTGTCCAGCTCGACGTGGGCTCGAGCAACCCAGCTAGGGCAGACTCAGTCCACCGTTCCCCCAACGATACTCCGGAAAGACCGCGTCTTCGTCCGCCCGCACTTCACGCGGGACATCCAGGAAGGGGACCACGTGCGGGTCCCCACTACCCACGTAGAACCTGGCAGTTCCTCCATTGGGCCAAATCCGCCCGGCCCAATGAAGGAACCTTGGCCCAGCGCTGGGGGCTATAAATACCCTCTGCTTCCAGAGGGTCAGGTATTGATCATTCTAACCTCAACTTCTATTATCTGCTCGTACTCCTACTTACTTCAGCATCGGAGTGTCTTGCAGGTACCCCCCCCCCCCCCCACCTCGTCAAAAAAGCTTTCTGCTCGGAGCCAGCCGTGACGGTCTAAACCTTCTGATCAGGTCAGATCAGTGGCGCCGTCTGTGGGAAGAAGCTTCTCCGTCTAACGAACAATTCCAAAGACCAAAGCTCAATTCAATTACCTATCATGGCTGATCCAGCTCGTGAAGAACAGCACGTCCGCGTCACCGACACTAACAACGGTCCCGCGGACAAGAATGGACACCTCGACAATCTCGGTGATCCCGGCCACAATGCCACCCCTGTGACAACCGCCCCTGGACCTTCCTCCCGCAGGGACGGGAACACTGCGTCATCCTCGACGACCCCTCCAGCACTCGAAGACGACCCGGAGGCTCTCGCCTATCGCAGAGCTGCCCGGTTCTATGAAGTCCAAGTTCCTGCAGGGGCAAACGCCACGACTCAGGCACTGTTCGCGGCCATCAACCAGACAAATTATCTCCTATTCGCCCAAGGGGAAAGACTAAGGGCACTTGAAAATGATCGACGGCCCCCGAGGAGGCATCAGAGGCCACCATCTCCACCTCCTCGAGTCGAAGAAGTTCGACACCCTACTCCCCCGCGGAGACACTACAGGGAGAACTCTAGGAGCCCCTCTCCCCTACCAAAGCAGAGGCGGCCCCAATATGAGAGACAGCCCGTCATCCCTACCGAAGAACCCAATCGCGACCCATCAAGGCACGACAGGAGGCACAACAGAGACGGGCTTGTGACCTTCAACCACCGAGCATCACGCTCGAGGGAATCTCAGCACGATCATCGTGCCAGACATAACTACAGGACCCCTTCTCTTTCTCCGGAGAGGAGCGACGAGGACGACCCCCGTGGTCCCCTGTCGCAGGCCATCATGGACGCACCTATTCCCCCGGGCATGGAGAAGCCCCCACATCTGAAGGAGTACGACGGCGTAGCAGACCCAGTCGACCACATTGACGGGTTCGAAGCCATGCTCCACTATCATAATGTCGGGGGGCCCATCAAGTGCCGTCTCTTCCCCACAACTCTCAGGAAGGCGGCCATGGACTGGTACAAAGGACTCGCCCCGGGCTCCATTACCTCGTGGCGGAACCTGAAGAACCAGTTCATCAGTTCCTTCACAGCTTCTCGGCGCCACCCGAAGACCGAGGCGGCCCTCGAGGCCATCATCCAAAGACAGGATGAAACCTTGAGGGAATTCATCAACCGCTTCAACCGGGAAGCAATACAGGTCCCCTGCGCGGACCATATGAAAAGATATTTGCTGGAGAGGGGCCTCCTCCCCGGCACTGAATTCAGAAAAGCTGTGGGTATTGAGCCACCTGCAACTTTTGATGCTCTCCTCGACAAAGCCCGAGCATACATGGACTACGAGGAGAGAGAAGCTGCCAACAGGGCACGAGACTCCAGGGCTCGCAATCATAGCAGCAGCTCGAGACAAGACCCTCCTCCCCGACGTACCGGAGAGAAGAGGAAGGAAGATCGACCCCGGGAGGTCCGGGAACAAAGGGGCCCCTCGGGCCGTTTCACCGAGTACACTCCGCTCACGGCTTCCCGCGAGCGTATTTTGGCGGAGTGTGCTAGCACAGATTTTAAAGACGGTGGCGTCAAACGTCCCCGGCCAGCTCCTGCCAAGCCAGGGGTAGACAAAAATAAATACTGTCAATACCATAGGAGTCATGGTCATTTGACAGAGGACTGCGTCCACCTCAAGGACGCCATCGAAACCCTCATCAAAGGAGGGAGGCTCGCACAGTACAGGCGAAACGATGCTCCCCGTCGTGACGCCCATGAAGCTAAGGAGCCCGAAGAAGATGCCCGACCATCTGACGAGTCGGTGCCAATCCAGACCGCCTTCTCGGTAACCAGGCCCGAGGATTTCGAAATTCCCGAGCTCCTGCAGGAGCCCCTGACGACACACAGCAGGTGGGAATACTTTCCCTCCGCCATGGTCATCAACGGGGGCGGGTTCAACGACCTCACCATCAATTCAGCCAAGAGGAAGTTGGACGAACTGGTCGACGCAGCTCCTCCACAAACTGTGACTTTCGAAAGAGTGAAGGGCAGATCAGAGCCCATCACCTTCTACTTAGAAGAGCTCCCCGGCGGAGCCCCGAACGCAGTCATCCCCTTGCTGATAAGGGCAAAGATGGCCAATTTTGACGTACATCGCATCCTGGTCGACGAAGGGAGTTCCGTCGACGTGATGTACAGCCAGCTGTTCCGGACCTTGCAATTGGACGACTCACACCTCTCTCCGTATGTGGGTTCAGACCTTCAAGGCTTCAACGGCTCGACTTCCAAACCTTGGGGTTATGTCGAGCTCCTCGTGACGTTCGGGGAAGGAACAACTACAAGACAGGTGAAGGTCCGCTTCCTCGTCATTGACTGCCCGTCCCTATACAATTGCATCTTGGGGAGGCCGACATTGGCGGAGCTGACAGCGGTGCCATCAACTGTCCATCTAAAAATGAAGTTTTATACTAAAAGGGCAAGGGTAGCCACCATCCAGGGAGACCTCGCTGCTGCCCGCAGGTGCTTCAACGCCGCTTCAAGGGGACGGGATACCGTCGACGTGGGTACCAGCACCAGACCCATCAAGAAGACAAAGCAAGAGCCCGACAGAGCATCCCCCGAGGTAGAAGTTCAGAAGGCTCCACCAAAGGTCGACTCCATAGCCCTCGACGCCCGCTTCGACCAAGACGAGCCATCCAGCAGCGAGCAAATCCCCCTCCGACCTATTCCGGACGGCGATTTTGAACTCGTTCCCCTCGGAGCAGACCCGACCAAGGGAGTGAAGATTGGCAAAGACCTCCCCGACTTGGCCAGGAAGCAAATCAAGGCCTGTCTGCGCGAGAATGCTGATCTCTTCGCCTGGAGCGCTGCAGAGATGCCCGGACTCGACCCTGAGGTCGCCTGTCATCACCTCGCCATTGATCCAGCCGCCAAGGCTGTAGTACAACGTAGGCGTAGGCAGTCTCCAGAAAAAACGGAGGCTGCTGAAAAAGCTGTAAAAGACCTCTTAGAGGCAAATTTTATTTCTGAAGCCCGGTACTCCACCTGGCTGTCAAATGTTGTACTTGTTAAAAAGAATAATGGAAAATGGAGAATGTGTGTTGACTATACCGACCTCAACCGGGCTTGCCCGAAGGATGCTTTTCCTCTACCTAACATTGACATGCTGGTCGACAATTCGGCCGGCTACAAGACTTTGTCGTTCATGGACGCCTACTCGGGATACAATCAAATCCCAATGGCCCTGGGCGACAAACGCTGCACGGCGTTCATGACCAGCTCGGGCAACTATTACTACAATGTAATGCCCTTCGGACTGAAGAACGCCGGTGCGACTTACCAACGCATGATGAACAAAGTGTTCAACAAACAGATTGGCGACA